CCTACTGACTGACTGATTCAGGTCGGCACGCACATACATGATTAATTGTTGCCCATCAGCGAAAGGCAAAAGTGGACAACAATGTTGGAGTCGACCAGATTCAAGATGGCTGCCACAGCCAAGTGAAAAAAGAACCCCCAAATAAATAATGACTCTAACTCTTAGAAAAACTCTTACATTTTTGTACTAAAATTTGAAATGATAAAAGCTGTAAGTCATTGTGTGAGAGTTAAGCTAAAGGAGACACGTCATGTTTTAAATCCTTCTTTTTCACATTTAAATCAATCAGTTGGGGTCTATAGAAAGTGGAACTGTAATGCTTTGGTCTGAATTCCTCCTTATTGTAACTCCACAAGACCCTCTTTCACCTCTTTTCTGAGGTGTGTCTCAGATCAACTCATTTTGAGGCTGTTTCTTAAATCCAAACAGGCGCTTCATGCCCCGCCCCCCTCCGTTTTCCAGAGTGGTCCATTCCAGTTGGATAGAAGGTTTTATGACACTATAGCAGTACAGAAACTTTTTATTTTCAAATTAATTAAAAAATGTAACAGCTAATTAGAATTAGCCAACCCAAAAGTGGTTGTAATCGACAGATATTGAGCAAAAAAAARTGACGAGGTAGAAACTGAAAGTTATTACCAACACTTTGGATGTGTCCAAATTCAGGGTCTGCATCTTTCAAAGGCCTTATTTTAAGGCAGATTACGTCACAGCGATGTGCTAAATGTTGTTCGAAAACAAATTTGTCCAGCTTTTCACCAATTTGAGGGACGGGTCATGTGTATCCTTCACAGCCCGACCTTTCCCATGATGCATTGGGGGCCGAACAGGAGATTTTTTTTCTGCTTGTAATGGTGTACGAAGCGAGAGACTGGAGTAGAGTTTTAAACAAAAATCTGGCAGTACAGAAATTAAAAGTTTGATTTGGTTGTTTTGTTAGGCTTTTTATTATTTGTAGACATGTTTTTTTTTTAATTTATTCTTATTTGAAATTATCGTAAACAAACTCGTATGGAAGAGCCATAGTTTTTCATGTATTGCCTCTAAGCTAATTTTGGTAATGTGTAACATTAATATTGTTTAAATTTAGCGAATCTCAATTTTCTTTTCTTAGGCGACAAGACATACGTCGGGGAAAGGGAGGGGATAAAGRTGAAGGTTAGATCGTCCTAATTCTCAGCCACTTTCTTCCTGTCTTCARGGTCAACAAGGGACCAGGTCCACGTAGACTGGGTAGGTCGGGTCCTTCGAAGGACGCAGACCCTGAATTTGGACACAACCATTCCCTGACTTTGACATCTAGCAGAAATGCTTGATATTATGCATGTGTGCAATATGCACTTTCTCTGGAAATGATGGGACTTTTATTTAAGAAAACCATTGTAAATGAAATATATCTAAATACATACACGTATAAAATGTTTTTACTTAAAGGCACACTGTGTAGGATTTGTTGTTTTCAGCGACATCTAGTGGTTGAGTGGTTGAATCATCCTCCCTGGTCCTGTCCCCACCCCCCACCCCCCGCTTCTAAACGCAAAGGAGTTGCTACGGTGTCTCTCAGGTGTCAAAAACCTTTGATAATTCCAACCGCGATGTCTACCAGCAGCTTCAGGG